GTCATCATGATCATCATCATTGTCAGCAGCATCATCATCAGCATCACCATCCGCACAATCATTGTCATCACCATCAGCAGCATCATCAACATCATCAACATCTTCATCATCACCAGCATCACCATCATCATCATCACCAGCACCATCATCATCAGCAGCAGCAGCATCATCTCATCACCAGCATCTTCATAATCATCATCGTCATCATATTCAGAATCATCAGCACCATCATCAGCATCATCACCACCATCATCAGCAGAAGCAGCAGCATCTTCTTCCCCCTCCTCCTCTTATTATCCCTCCTCCTTGTCCTCATCCTCCTCCTCCTCCTCCTCCTCCTCCTCCTCCTCCTCTTCCCCCACTTCCTCTGGGAAACCTGGGTCGACCCGTCCAGTCTCGATCGAGGTCCCGACACGGCTCTCGGAACAGCGCCTGGCCGTGGTCACAGCCGGGACCCCCCGCGGATCCCCGGGCTCCCCCGCCAGATCCCCACGACCCCCGTCAACCTCGCATCCTGACCCCCAACCCCCAACCGGCAGTGTCTGGCCCGGAACCGATCCTGACCCCGGACCTCGCCCGGGCATCCTTACCCACTGGAACCTGTGTTTTGAGACCTCCCGACTGAAAATGTCTGCCACGGAACCAAGCCTGGCCCCCCCACTTCGCCCCGGCATCTTGACCCACTGGAACCTCTGTTCTTGATACCCCCGACCCACAAATGTGGCCCGGAACCGAGCCTGACCCCCCACCTCGTTTTGGCATCCTGACCCACTGGAACCTCTGCTCTTGTGACCCCCCAACCGAAAGGGTCTCGCCCGGAACCGACCTTCACCCGCCACCTCGCCACTGCATCCTGGCCCACTGGAACCTTTGTCTTTGAACCCCCCCACTGGGAGCTGGAACCGATCATGACCCCCCACCTCGCCCCTCGCCCCAGCATCCTTACCCACTGGAACCTCTGTTCTTGGGGCCCCCCAGCCGACAATTTCTGGCCAGGAACAGACACAGACACACCAGCCCCTCTCAACATCCTGACCCAAAGCATCTCTGTCCTTAGGAACCACCAACAGATATTACTCGCCCGGAACCGACCGACCCTGACCCCCACCTCGCCCCAGCACCTTGACCTACTGGAACCTCTGTTCTAGAACCCCCCCAGCTGACAATTCCTGGCCCGGAACCGACCCTGACCCCGCGGTTCGCCCCGGCATCCTGACCCACTGGAAACCTCTGTTTTTGGGACCTCCCGACCGACAATTTCTGCCCCGGAACCGAACCTGACTCCCCACTTCGCCCCGGCATCCTGACCCACTGGAACTTCTGTTCTTGAGACCCCCAACCATCAACTTCTTGCCCAGAACCGATCCTGACCCCCCACCTCGCCCTGGCACCCTTACCCACTGGAACCTCTGCTCTTGTGACCCCCCACCGGAAATGTTTCGCCCGGAACCGACCTTCACCCGCCACCTCGCCACGACACCGACACGGAACCGACCCTGAGCCCCCACCTCGCCCCGGCATCTTGACCCGCTGGAACCTCTGTTCTTAGGACCCCGATCTGGTCCAGAACCGACCCTGTCTCCCCACCTCGCCCCGGCATCCTGACCCACCACCCCAGCCGACAGTGCGTGGCCCGGAACAGGCTCTGACCCCCAACTACGCCCCAGCATCCTGACCCACGGGAACCTCCGTTCTTGGACCTCCCCACCTGACAATTCTGGTCCGGAACCGACCCTGACCCACCACCTCGCCCCGGCATCCTGACCCACAAGACGCTCTGTTTCTGACACCGCCCAACCGACATTGTCGAGCCCGGCACCGACCCTGACCCTCCCTCGCCCCGGCATCCTGACCCACTCGAAGCCCTGTTCTTGGGACCACCCAACAGACTTTTTTTGGCCCGGAACCGACCCTGACCCTCCACCTCTCGAAGCCCTGTTTTTCGGACCCCCCAGCCGACAATTTCTGGTCCGGAACCGACCCCTGACCCCGCACCTCGCCCCCGCATCCTGACCCACTGCAACCGCTGCGCTTGGGACCCCTCAACTGACAATTTCTGGCCCGGAACCGACAGGGTCCTCTCGCATGGGTTCCCGCTCATCTTGGGGCCACTCATAAAGTCAAAATTGCGCGCGGACAGAGGGAAGTTCCTCCTATCCTCCTTGGAAGGGAATTCCCCCGATCCTCCCCCTTCCGCTCGTCCGCCTTTCCTTCCTTCCGTCCTGGCTGCGCGCTTCCTCCGCCAAGCCTTTCTTCAGCAGGGACGCCGCGGCAACGGGATTCGACGTCGGTCAGGCCGGGCTGGGCAGGGAGTCCCCTCCATTCCCCAGGCAGGGTCTTCGTTTCCCCTCTCCGACTGCTGGTCCGCAATGGTGTTTAGCGCACACTGTTCTGATGGCGGGGGCTGGGAAACAGGGCGAAGCCCCCGGCAGTTGAGATGCGGACTCTTTGCCGGCCCATCCCACTCCTGACGGCCGCTGCCCTCTCCATCGCGTGCTTGCCTGGCACGAAACATGGCCATGGACGGGCCCGCCTGGAAGCGCAATGGTCGGTGTGAAGATGTTCCAACGCGGGGGTCTCCTCCTGCCCGGTCAGCGTCACTGACAGCGTCCGTGCCTGAGGATGCGAACGCCGCCCTATAGACCACCCCAGCCAGCCTCTTCCTCCCTCCTCCTCCTCCTCCTCCTCCTCCTCCTCCTCCTCCTCCTCCTCCTCCACCTCCTCCTCCACATCCTCCTCCTCCTCCTCCTCCTCATCCTCCTCCTCCTCCTCCTCCTCCTCCTCCTCCTCCTCCCTCCTCCTCCTCCTCCTCCTCCTCTCTCCTCCTCCTCCTCCTCCTCCTCCTCCTCCTTCATCCTCCTCTCCTCCGCCTCCGCATCCGCATCCGCATCCGCCTCCTCCTCCTCCTTTTTTCCTCCTCCTCCTCCTCCTGCTCATCCTCCTCCTCCTCGTCCTCCTCCTCCCTCCTCCTCCTCCTGCTCCTCCTCCTCCTCCTCCTCCTCCTCCTCCTCCTCCTGCTCCTGCTCCCTCCTCCTCCCTCCCTCCTCTCTCCTGCCTCCTCCCTACTCCCCTCCTCCCTCCTCGCTCCTCCCTCCTCCTCCCTCGTCCCTCTACTCAGCACGCGGAAATTTCAACTAATCCACTGTACTCGCCACGTGGCAAAACGCCTGGAAGCAAAACATACGCTATTCCACGCTCCTCGCGACGTACGGAAAACAATGCCATTCCAAGCGAAACAAATACCACTCCACTCGAAAACTCGCCACGTGACATTGCCTGCTGGGCGGAACAACTACTATTTCACCCCACTCGCCACGAAACAACGCCGGGGGAGCGAAACAAATACGGCTCCAAACTCCTCGCCACGTGAGAACACTGGGAGGGGGAAACACATACCACTCCACTGTACTCGCCTCGTGGCAGAGCCTGCGGAGCGAACGCCCGCGCGCCCTGCCCGCCCGCTGGCGCGCGCGCGCGCCCGCCGCCCGCCCACCCGCACGTCCGCCCGCCCGCCCGCCCGCGCGCGCGCGCTCGCTCGCGCGCGTCACGTGGCAACGCCAAGTGAGCGAAACAAATACTGGTCCACTCTCCTCCTCCTCCGTTTCCTCCTGCTCCTCCTCCTCCTCCTTCTCCTCCTCCTCCTCCTCCTCCTCCTCCTCCTCCTCCTCCTCCTCCTCCTCCTCCTCCTCCTCCTCCTGGCCATTTTGCAGCACGCGGTGGGGGGGACAGATCCTACTGCACTGTACTGGCCACGCGGCAGCGCCTGCGGGGCGAGACGACATTACTCCACTCTGCTCGGCACGTGGCAACGAAGCGGGCCGGGAACACACGCTATTCCACTCTACTCGCCAAACGGCGCCACGTGGCAAGGCCTGAGAGGCAAACAAAAACACCACCCCATTCCACTCGCCACGTGGCAATGACATCGGGAGCGAACAAGAAGTTCGCCTCCCACTCGACTCATCACGTGGCAATGCCGAGCGGACCGAAAATGTACAAGTCTCATTCTACTCGCCACGTGGCGACGCCTGGGAGGCGAAAACAAATCTTCCATTCGATTCGCCACGTGACAATGCCACGGGGCGGGAACAAATACACTGCCACTCCATCCGCAACAGGGCAACGACATGCGGGCAAACAATGAAGAGGACCTCAAAACAAGTGTCATGGCCGCAGAAACCGCAAACGGGCCACGCTAGTTTACCCGATGGAAAGCATCAGTCGCCGATTCGCTACCCTGAACCCGATAAGCCTAAGGAATCCACGTGTGGACTTTTTACCGCTCTACAACCCTCGCCGTTGCCCTCGTAGGTCTCCTACCGATGTCTGCCTTTTCTTACCTCCTACGTCCACCAGGCTCCTCCACCTGCACCCTGGCTCGCCCCATCTCCTCGTCCCTGCTACCACGTCCTGCCCCCCGCCCCACTCCTCCGACCTCCTGCCGCCTGCTACCTCGCCCTGCTTCCTTCGAGACCCCTTTCTCAGCTGTTCGAGGTAGGCCCCCTCCCAGCCTGTCGGATCTCGCCCCCCCTGGAGTTGCGGGTGTGGGCCTCCGGCCGCTTCGGGTTTCGCCCCCGTCGGGATCTCGGGTCTGGCCCTGCCCGTTTTCAGGTTCCGGCGCAAGCTCCGGGGTCAAGCGCCTTCCGGGCCCCAGCACCCCCCGAAGGCGCCCCAAGGGGGCCACAAAGAGGGACCCGAGAGAGCCCCAAGAGGACCCCAAGAGGGCGTCAAGAAGATCAGCTCTCGTCTGCGGCGTTTCTGAATGGGCTTCTAGGGATACGCGAAACGTCAAGGACTCGAGACGAGTACTCCCTCGAAGAAATACCTTCGAAACCGCTGGCAAATGATACCGTGAGCAAGGAGAATCAAAACCTTCGATTGCAAGAGAAGGGACAAGAAACGTGGCATAGACAGCAACTGTTGGCACGGAAACATTGAGGACGACCCAAGCGGAGAAGCGAGAGCAGCAGCTAATGGCAGACAGCAGGGAGGACCATGTCCTGCAGTTGTAGGCGCTGATCATGAAGAAGACGTCGGTGGCAGATGATGGTAATCCATCAACCTTTGCGCTCCAATGTTTGACGCGGTTTGGAAACATGAGAAGCACGGGCACAGGCGACATTCTGGCCTCATCCGTGCGACTCGCATCGCACTCTGCTTTCATCTGAAACAATACTCCTGCCCGGGGAGGCCGCTGCCCCCTCCAAAAATGAGATGGTCGAACAGTCGCTTAAACGGTTGGCTTTCACTCCGAAACCGGGTTCTCCTGCTGCTTACGACTCATACTCGGGCGACCCACCGTGTCCGACCCGGAAATCATCGCCGAGGTCCGCACGGGCCCAAAACCCTTTCAAACCCATCGAAAGACGACGCCCACGCTCTCCCAGCGGCGGCTGCATCGAGGATGGTGTTGCTGCGCCGGGTGCATGCCAGCTGGCGCGGCCGAAACCCCAAAAGACGTGAGCATCAATAGATAAAGCGCCAAGGGGCACAGGGCACTGATCACATCAAAACTAACAACCCGTATGCCCCAAAACAAAAAAAATGCACGCATCACCTCGGCCATCCTCCTCCGTTCCCCTCTCTTCGACTTGCTTCCCCCTCCCCACATCGGAAGGCAAGAAACTGCAAAACATACGCGATTGGAGGTCCGTGCGGGTTCTTGGGACTGCGCTGGACCCCCCCTTTCCGCAGGGCTCAGAACGACCCAAAGGGCGGCGCTGGAGGCGCCCCGACGCGAAGTCCAACGAACCGACAAATCCGCGCGGACCACCGGTTTCTTCGGTACCCCCCCCATCGTGTCCCTGGAGGCCGCGCAAATGAAGCCATAGTAGATGGGCTCGGAGGATAGCGCTGCATCACCGATGCATCGGTATCCACATCGAACCGCACCGCCAATGCATCGGTTAACGGGCCCGTATCGACCAGGCGCGTGCAGCCACAGGCCCACCCAAACATAAAACCACACCAGACTACAAATGATCAAAACTCACGCGACTTTCTGTGAAATCATAAAAGGCGAATGAAACCACATGAAACTACAGGTCACTGTGGACCGCGAGAAACTAGCGTCGTCATCGTCGCTGGCGTTTTCGTAGCCGTCGGCGTCGTTGCCACCGTCATCGGGGTCGTCGTCGCCGTCGCCGTCATAGTCGCCGTCGCCGCCGTCGCCGTCGGCGGCAGCGTCACCACCCGTCTCGGTTTCGCACTCAGCTTGCTGTTGCATGCCCTGCAGCAGGTCGATGTCAAGTTCCTCGATCGTCATAAAGCGTTTTGTCCGTAAACTCTCGCGTAGAATCGCCGCGCCGGAAATATTTGCGCCTGCTGCGTGGGCACTCGCTCGCACGCTAGAAACTGTGCTTCGGCTTCGAATTGACGCCGCTGGCGATGGCCAATGTTATTTTTCCTTAAGGCGCGGCGCGCCCTGAGAGCGGTAACAGATTGCCCCCACCAGCACGCCCGCTTGCGCCTGCACTGCGCGGCGAAATGGCGGCGCAACTTTCTTCGCACACCAGTGCACAGATAGTGCTCGTGCTTGGCATCGACGTCGGCCAAGTGGCGCGGGGGCGCAGGCTGCGCAATAAGAGCCCCCCGAGGCCGAGGCGAAAGTAGCACGCCCGCCGCTGCCCGAGAGTAGAGAGAGAGTGGAGAGAGAGAGAGAGAGAGAGAGAGAGAGGTAGAGAGTAGAGAATAGAGAGTAGAGAGTAGAGAGTAGAGAGTAGAGAGTAGAGAGTAGAGAGTAGAGAGTAGAGAGTAGAGAGTAGAGAGTAGAGAGTAGAGAGTAGAGAGTAGAGAGTAGAGAGTAGAGAATAGAGAGTTGAGAGTAGAGAGTAGAGAGTAGAGAGTAGAGAGTAGGGAGTAGAGAGTAGAGAGTAGAGAGTAGGAGGGCGGGGGATAGAGGGTAGAAAATAGAGAGTAGAGAGTAGAGAGTAGAGAGTAGAAAGTAGAGAGTAGAGAGTAGAGAGTAGAGAGTAGAGAACAAAGAGTAGAGCGTAAGAGAGTAGAGAGTAGAGAGTAGAGAGTAGAGGGTAGAGAGTAGAGAGTAGAGAGTAGAGAGTAGAGAGTAGAGTAGAGAGTAGAGAGTAGAGAGTAGAGAGTAGAGAGTAGAGAGTAGAGAGTAGAGAGTAGAGAGTAGAGAGTAGAGAGTAGAGAGTAGAGAGTAGAGAGTAGTAGAGAGTAGAGAGTAGAGAGTAGAGAGAGTAGAGAGTAGAGAGTAGAGAGTAGAGAGTAGAGAGTAGAGAGTAGAGAGTAGAGAGTAGAGAGTAGAGAGTAGAGAGTAGAGAGTAGAGAGTAGAGAGAAGAGAGTAGAGAGTAGAGAGTAGAGAGTAGAGAGTAGAGAGTAGAGAGTAGGGAGTAGAGAGTAGAGAGTAGAGAGTAGGGAGTAGAGAGTAGAGAGTAGAGAGTAGGGAGTAGAGAGTAGGGAGTAGGGAGTAGGGGGTAAGGAGTAGAGAGTAGTGAGTAGGGAGTAGAGAGTAGAGGGTAGGGAGTAGAGAGTAGAGAGTAGAGAGTAGAGAGTAGAAAGTAGAGTAGAGAGTAGAGAGTAGAGGGTAGAGAGTAGAGAGTAGGGAGTAGAGAGTAGAGAGTAGAGAGTAGAGAGTAGAGAGTAGTAGAGAGTAAGAGTAGAGAGAGTAGAGAGTAGAGAGTAGGAGTAGAGAGTAGAGAGTAGAGAGTAGAGAGTAGGAGTTAGAGAGTAGAGAGAGAGTAGAGAGTAGAGAGTAGAGAGTAGAGAGTAGAGAGTAGAGAGTAGAGAGTAGAGAGTAGAGAGTAGGGAGTAGGGAGTAGAGAGTAGGGAGCAGGGAGCAGGGAGTAGGGAGTAGAGAGTGGGGAGTAGGGGGTAGAGAGTATAGAGTAGAGAGTACAGAGTACAGAGTAGAGAGTAGAGAGTAGAGAGTAGAGTGTAGAGAGTAGAGAGTAGAGAGTAGTGAGTAGTGAGTAGAGAGTAGAGAGTACAGAGTACAGAGTAAAGAGTAGAGAGTAGAGAGTAGAGAGTAGAGAGTAAAGAGTAGAGAGAGTAGAGAGAGTAGAGAGAGTAGAAAGAGTAGAGAGTAGAGGGTAGAGAGTAGAGAGTAGAGAGTAGAGAATAAAGAGTAGAGAAGAGAGGAGAGAGAATCAGGGCGAAGGGAGAAGAGAGAAGAAGAGAGAAGAAAGACGAGAGAAGAGAGAAGACAGAAGAGGGAAGAGAGAGGAGAGAAGAGAGGGAAGAGAGAGAAGAGAGAAGAGAGAGAGAAGAGAGAGAAGAGAGAGATGAGAGAGAAGAGAGAGAAGAGAGAGAAGAGAGAGAAGAGAGAGAAAGAGAAGAGAGAAGAGAGAAGAGAAAAAGAACGACAGAAGGGGAGAGAGAGAGAGAGGGAGGAGAAAGAAAAAAAAAAAAAAAAAAAAAAAAAAAAAAAAAAAAAACAAAAAAAAAAAAAAAAAAAAAAAAAAAAAAAAGGAGAGAGAGAGAGAGAGAGAGAGAGAGAGAGGAGAGAGAAGAGAGAGCAGATAGAGAGAAGAGAGAGAGAAGAGAAGAGAGAGAGAGAGAGAAAGAAAAAGAGAGAAAGAGAGAAAGAGAGAAAGAAGAAAGAGAGAAAGGAAGAGAAAGAAGAGAAAAGAGAGAAAGAGAGAAAGAGAGAAAGAGAGAACGAGAGAAGAGAGAAAGAGAGAAAGAGAGAAAGAAGAGAAAGAGAGAAAGAGAGGAAGAGAGAAAGAGAAAGAAAGAAAGAGAGAAAGAGAGAAAAGAGAGAAAAGAGAAAGAGAGAAGAGAGAGAAAGAGAGAAAGGAGAAGAGAGAAAGAGAGAAAGAGAGGAAAGAGAGAAAGAAGAAAGAGAGAAAGAGAGAAAGAGAGGAAGAGAGAAAAGAGAGAATAGAGAAGAGAGAAAGATAGAAAGAGAGAAAGAAGAGAAGAAGAGAAAGAGGAAAAGAGAGAAAGAGGAAGAGGAAGAGGAAAAGAGGAAGAGAAAGAGAGAGAGAGAGAGAGAGAGAGAGAGTGAGTGAGAGAAGAGAGAGAGTGAGAGAGATAAGTGAGAGGAAGAGAGAAGAGAGAGAGAAAAGTGAGAGAGAGAGAGAGATTAGGGGAGGGAGATAGAGGAGTGTGAGAGAGCGAGAGAGAGAGAGAGAGAGAAGAGAGAAAAAAGGAAAAAAAAAAAAAAAAAAAAAAAAAAAAAAAAAGAGAGAGAGAGAGAGAGAGAGGAGAGAGAGAGAAGGAGAGAAGAGAGAGAGAGAGGAGAGAGAGAGAGAGAAGAGAGAGAGAGAGGGAGAAGAGAAGGGAGAGAGGGAGAGAGGGAGAGAGGGGGGGAGGGGCCAGGGCCAGGGCCTGGGTCGGGACTGGCAGGACGCGACCTTCTTGATGCAGTCGCGCAGGTTGTCGAACAGGCCACCATTGCGCCCGTTGCGCATGGCGCCCCAGAGGTCGCCCACCCCTCGAGCGTCGATCCCAAGCTTCTCGGACCGCATGGGTTCATCTGATGTGGCCCCAGCTGCTAGGAGCTCGAGGTCCGCGCGCGGGCCCGCGGGCTTGGTCGCCGTCTCGGCGGGGGGGCCAGGCCCCCGGCAAATCCGCGCAGGGCCCCGCCAGCCCCCAGCCACCTCTGCGTCGCAGCCCAGCGGGCCGCGGCCGAGGTCGCGAGGCCCAGGGGGCAGAGCCCCCCGAAACCCCGCCCCCCACCACCCCCCAGCGGCAGAGCACTATCACGGGGCGGCTCGCCCAACGGACCGCTCTCGAAGCCGTCGAGGTCTAGCTGGCCCAGCATGCCCATGGAGTCGAAGTCCTCCGTGCCCACGCGTTGGCCGATGGCGCGCGCGGGGTTCACGATGGGCGGTGAACCAACTGCGCCAAGTTGCCCCATCTGCAACTCATCTCGGCATCAACGTCGTGGGCCCCTGGCTTCGCGATCTCCTCGAAGATGGCGCGATGCTTACTCAGCTGCCGCGGCCGTTTCATCACCCGCCGCTCGCTGTTCGCGTCGGGCTTCTTCTGCGGCACGGGCGGTTGCGACGCGTGAGATGGCAGCTGGAAATGACGGACAGAAACAACTTTAGCTCGCCCTCGCATACGCGGCGCATGTCCGACGCGCGTTCCCCGGG